CTAGGCCCCCGGGCGCGGGTCCCCGGTCATGGCACGTCGAAGTGAAGGTCAGGTGCGGGTGGGTTGAGGTCATCCAGTCCTGGGCGTGTTAGGTTGGGGGGGTTCGGGCGTGGAGCGGTCAACGTACGGGGTGGCCCTTTGTGTCGGGGAAGCCTGCGATGAGACCCATCCACTCGACGAGGCGCTCCTCGGGCGTGAGCTCCTTTTCGTCGCTCATTGTGTGTGTTTGGATTTTTTTTTTCGTAAAAGAAATCAAACAATAATAATCAAAAAATCGAATGATTGGTTTCTAGAGACGCAATGGAAAAAAGGTGTCGATAGGCCTTGGGCGCGTCTGTCTGTCTCCTATCAGCCTCGGGTATTCGACAGTAAGAAGGAGACGGGTGAGCAGAGTCAAGCTGCACCCGGGGCCCTCGCCCTCGCCAGACAGCCAGCGCGCGTTCTCAGAGACCTTACAGTAGTAGTTTTGCGGTGGATCGACGGAAGGATGGATGGGGCGCGTCGTCAGGTCTGGTGGTACATCTCTCTCTCTTTCTTTCTTTCTTTCTTTCTTTCTTTCTCTCTCTCTCTCTGTGTGTGTCTCTCTCTCTGCATGGATCTGTCTCCGTAGATGATGAGCAGACAAGAGAAGCCGACGTAGCTAACGTGAGGCCCTGAAGCCGCAGCCGAGGCTCACAGGGGGGCCAAGGTCCGTGCTCGAGGTGCTCGAGGTGCTCGGCGTGGGGAAGGACCCCGCAGCGCCCTGTCGTGGTGGGGCCCGGTGCGGCCTTGGGGGTGGGTTTTGGGGCATGGGCCAGGGTCGAGGGAGTACTGTACACTGCATGTACGAGGAAGCACGGGCAGGGTAGGATGGGCATGCATCGCGATGCCTCGGGCGGCGCAAAAGATAGGTCACGCCCGTGCACTCTCCATCCAGGAATTGGAGAGTTGTGTTCAACATATGGACAGTGTATTCAAGACATGGAGAGGGCAGCCCGATGTCTCCCAGCTTCCATGGGGGCATCTCCGTGACGCTCTTCCCGCGCTGCATCCGTGTGATGCGAGGTGGACAGAGACTCTGGACGATGGGGTCTAGCGAAGGGTGTCATTTCTCAAGTCAGTCAAAACCATAGTCCATGCTCGGATCAGGGGGGCTTTCGAGTGCTTTCTAGTAGATGCTTTCTAGTAGATGCTTTCTAGTAGATGCTTTCTAGTAGATGCTTTCTAGTAGATGCTTTCTAGTAGATGCTTTCTAGTAGATGCTTTTTAGTAGATGCTTTCTAGTAGATACTTTCTAGTAGATACTTTCTAGTAGATACTTTCTAGTAGATACTTTCCAGTAGATGCTTTCTAGTAGATACTTTCCAGTAGATGCTTTCCAGTAGATGCTTTCCAGTAGATGCTTTCCAGTAGATGCTTTCCAGTAGAAGCTTTCCAGTAGAAGCTTTCCAGTAAATGCTTTCCAGTAAATGCTTTCCAGCAGATGCTGCCAAGAGAAACAGCCGCCTAAAAGAATAAACGGCTGCCTCAGCCCCGTGCATCTACAATGGCAGGCCTGTATGGCACCCTCACATCCACAGGCCACAGGCCCGTAGGCCCTCACACCATGCTGCTTCATCGGGCAGCAGGCACAAGGCTGTCTGGCCTCGTGCCAGCCGTGCGCGGTGCAGGTTCTACAGATCCGACGGCCACATGCCATCTGGTACCTCCATCAAATGCATGAAGTCCATAAAAAAAGCATCCAAATATATATATATATATATATAATCTAAAAAAAAAAAAAAAAAAAGTCATGCAAAGCCAGGCCCAATGAGGCCGACAGGACGTCACCCAAACGCAGCCTCGCCAATTTGGTGAACACAGACACAGCATGCAGCACCCACACGTGCACCGGAAATTGCCTCGGCAAAATCCTCGACCCACTTTCGGCGGCCCCTTTCCCTGCCAACCCTCATCGCCCAGAAGGGGCAAACCAAACACCCAGCAACAGCATCACCACCTCCCAGCCTCCTCCTGCCGGCATTTCCCGAACGGTTTTTCCCAAGCCAGCTTGCATCCTAGACCCAATGGCCTCCTCCCTAGGTAGGGCAGCAGAAGATAAACCAACGGCCGGCGAA